GCACCTTTAATGTAATCCTGTGCCTTATAACACCCATTTAATCTGTAATTCTTCTTCTGTGATTTTGGAGATTTGTACTGATGTACCTATTTGTACCGATTTTGTTAACTGAATTTCTCAAGAAAATAAACATTGGCTACATGAAATTGTTATGTTCTTCCCATCTATTGTGAGGCAATTTCCTGTGGACCAAATTACTCTAGAGCAGCGGTTCTCAACCTGTGGGTCGGGACCCCTTCGGGGGTCGAATGACAATTTGCCAGGGGTCGCCGGGAGTCTCCCGCTATTGGATAGCGACTCCCGGCCGCCCGGGAGAGAAACACTTTCTCCCGGAAAGGTTTACTCTGCTCGATCGAGCAGAGTAAACCTTTCGCTGTAATTGTTTTTGGTTTTTTTAATTTTATTTCTGACATCGGAGCCCCAGCCGCTGTAAATCAGAAAAAAATAAATAAATCCGCATTGGAATGCATAGCTAGATTCCTATTGGCTATTTCACTTTGCAATAGCAAACTAGCTATTGCACCCGCCCACTGCGGCTGTCAATCAGCAGAGGGGGACCTGCAGTTCTCCATCAGGTCCCCATCTAGTGATTATCATCATTATTATTAATAATAAAAGCTGACACCCTCGGCTTGCGTTATATGGTTTGCCATTTTAGCTGTTACAGCAGTGGTTCTCAACCTGTGGGGTCGCTCTGTGATTTCTGCTGTGCTAGGTGAGAGTCCTCCTCAGCCCTCTCCTAGCGCAGCAGTGTCAGTTCTCCCGCCACGCCGCCAGATGTCGCTGCAGCAGCCGCGTCAACCCTAAATTTTACCGTTGGGGGTCACCACAACTTGGCAAATGTTACCAAGGGGTCCCGGCCCTAGAAAGGTTGAGAACCACTGCTTTAGAGTATGCTCTTGTAAGACTGTTCTAGGTATAATAGTTAAACTTGTTTTTGCTAAAGCACAACAAATGCAAGATGTACTTATCTTGTAGACCCCCATCTACGATGTAGAAGCAGAGCTAGATAAAAAAAAAAATTAGAAGAAAAAAAAGTAAAAGTAACTCCCTTACAACTCAACTTCTGGCCGCTTGCAAGTTAGCTTAAGTGAGGGTGACGTCACTGGGCCTTCTCCTGAGGTCCATGAAAAACTGAGCATCTTAAATCTGGTGAGAAGGTACTCCAGCACTTTGAAGGGGGTCTTCATGCGAGATTTGGGATCTTCAGCTTTCCTAGTATCACAAGAGAAGGCCGAGTGACGTCAGCCTCACCAAGCCCGCCAGAAATTGGGGTTTAAGATGAGTTTTTACTGTTTTCTGCTAATTTGTTTGTGTGGTGGTTGTCACATGAGGAGGGTCTATAAGATTGCGTTTTGATGCAAGGTCCATTTTAGGCTTGGGTTAATATGATAGTGCTATATACTGTTATTACAGAACAGAAGGTGGTTTATTGACCAACTTTAGATTACACACTTTCCTAAACAAAATCCCAGCATTTAGAGGAAAGGCTTAACCCCCACATGTTCCTTTTTCCCCATCACTCTCAAATGCTGTCAATGAAGTAGCTACGGGAGGTAGATGACATGCTTGATTCTTAAAATGATGAAGATTTTAGTTTGTAGTTAAGGACTCAAACATGGAAGTTACCATAGCTTACTTGTTAAAGTGCAGGTCTGGTGCCATCGTTGTCATATTTGGTATGCTCCACTTGAAGTTTAAACTGCCAACTTCATACTTGTTCCAGCTCCTTGAATAAATCGTGAAAGGAAACAAGTAGCAATGCATTATAGAGCCTGCCATTGCTGACCGCTGCTTAAATGCTAGTTGCTTCAATGTCAGTCCGATCTAACAGCTTCAATACTTTTGTAAACACCATCCTGAAACAAACATGCAGAGTTCTGACTTGTTTGACTTTCTAATCAATCCAATCTTCTTCCAGGTCAATGATCCCATCATAGATGGCCATGCAGCTAGTATTCTTATGAAGGTCCATAATAGCAGGTCAAACTCTTCTTCTTAGCAAACCCCATGTGCAATACTTGTTACCCCCCATCACTGCAGGACACATGAGCTGGCGGGAAGAACCACAACTTGAGAGCCGGTATTCGACACACCCAGAAGTGTTGGAGGGTAATGACAAGGGCCTCCTTTAGAAAGGTAAGTATACAGCCTCTCCTTTTTCTGACTTTAGTTTAGTTTGTAACTAAACAGTAACTCTTAACAAACACAACTTAACAAGTAACTCTTCCAAAGTGCACTAAAACTTTAATCAAAGGAAGAACCATATACTACATCCCCAGTTGCTTACGTGGGGTTTTCACGCTACGGTGGGGTTTTCTGCTACGGTGGTTAGGGCCACAGTCCTAACCACCGTAGCAGGGATTACTGCTACAATACAGAGCGAGAGAGGGGGTCTTGTGGCCAAGAAGGGACATTTGCAAGCCGTGCCTCTCATCTAAATGTCAAACAACTCTTGAGCCTCTTTCGGAAGCTTCTTGTGTGATTACAAGGGCACTTGGGGTTTAGTGGGGCCCCTGCTCAGTACAAAGGGGTTAAAATCATTTTTGCTTTGGAGCAGTTGCTAAACCTCTCTCTGTGTGACTGCGAGCCATTGTTTTATCTCTAATCAGCAACCAGCTGGCTCGTCAGTGAATAGCGCCGCGGGCCCCCGGCCATGTTTCATGTGGGGTCTTGGCTGGGTGGCCAAGCAGGCAGCCCGCAGACAGTGTCCGAGCCATTCAAGGCTATTGGCACAGCAGTGTCCCCATTAATTTCTGCTTGTCACATGCTGTCATGCAAGTTACACCAGAGAGGAAATGACCGTTAGAGGAGAGAGAAAAAAAAAATCCTTGTTGCTTGTGTTCTCCCAGACATTATCTCTGAGGTTAAACAAGTGGAGACAATTAGCATCCATCCAGGGACAGCTGCAGGAAGGAAAGACCTAGATGTGGGGGCCCCCCACGCTAACGTACCTTGCAGGCCTGCCCACAGATTCCGTTATCAGCATCTGCCACATGGCAATCCCGCAAAGTACCAGTTACAGAAGTGACGTTCTGCTTCCTCTAGTCTTGGTTCATTCACCAGAGCCCTGTGTTTGGGCCTGAGGCTGATGTGGTTATAGAGGGTCACCCAGTAACTTAACAAGTCTACATGAATAAAAACCTAAAATATTGCAATCTAAAGCAACAGAATTATTTTCTGTACCACCAAAAGTACCACCTTGTATTAAAAAAAGCAGGGCTTGAGCTCCAGTTTAGTTACTTAGTCTAGGATGAGATGATGTCATCAGTCTGTTGCATGCAGAAGGAAGCATTTTGTCGGTCTCTTCTCGACCCGTGATCAGACTTTGTAGGAAGTTACATGGTAAGTGGCTGCAAGGGGGGCTGATCTGTGTTAGACATTTGTGACCTCAGCCAAGACCTGCACACATACACACACCAGGATTTATGTGACTGTGTCACCTCTGAGCTAGCATCTCAGTCCAGGAAGTAGATGGTGACCCTCGATAGTGACTGGACAAAGATGGCTCCATGCTTTTGGAGAGAAAAGTGGATGAGGGCATTATCAAAGGGAGTACTGTGATCCCTGTGAGAGGTAATACATACCTGGAAGTGTTACACTTACACATTACTTAGAATAGATGCATGGTTTAATATCAATAAATATACCTGATGCTTGGTCTACTTTATAGGGGAAGTTTCAAGTTGCATATATATTGCTTCATATGACTTCATTGGCGTGGAAGACTCTTATTTCTATATATAGAACATACGGCATGTGTCTTGCGGCCATATTTTTTCTACATATGCAAGCCGTGTTTCCCACTTAATAATGCCCCGTGGTGTTTGTGCTTTACTGTCCCCCTCATTGAGCTCAAGCCTATCAGTCTGTTTAGAGTAAATATACTTGTTGGACATCGTATTCCAAAATCATGGGTATTAATTAGGGATGCACTGATACCGATACTAGTATCAGTGCCGTCACCGAGTATTTGGGTGAGTACTCGCCCAAATGCTCTGATACCTTCCCCAAAACTGGAACTTCCGGTCAGATGAAGATTTCCTCTGACTGGCAGTGCCATAGGGTAACATGGAGCCAGCTTCCTGTGCGATGCGGAAGCTCGGTGGCGAGTAATGACCCGCCTCCTGGCTTCCTGATTGGCTGGGAAACCGGCTCCATGCTAATTAGCTGGGAAGCCGGCTTTTCAGCCAAACAGCTGGCTCCTTGCTGATTGGCTGGGAAGCCGGCTTCCCGGCCAATCAGCATCGAGCCATCCGAACAACTGGCTCGATGCTTACTGGCTGAGAAGCTGGCTTTCTAGCCAATCGGCATCGAGTTGGCTTTTCGGCCAATCAGGATGAAGGCAGGCGGTCATTACTCGCCGCCTGGCTTCCTGATTGGCTGGGAACCCGGCTCGATGCTGAATGGCTTGGAAGCCAGTTTCCCGGGCAATCTTAATCATTCCGGCCAAACAACATGGAGCCGGGTTCCTGGGCAATCAGGAAGCCGGGCGGCATGTCATTACCTGCCACCCGGCTTCCTGATTGTGGCTATAACAACCTCCACTCTTCTAAGAAGGCTTTCCACAAGATTTTGGAGTATGAAAATGCGTGCCCATTGAGCCAAAAGAGCATTTGTGCGGTCAGGTACTGATGTTGGATAAGAAGACCTGGTTCACAGCTGGCATTCCAGCTCATCCCAAAAGTGTTTAATAGGGTTGAGGTCAAGGAGCTTGAGTTCCTCCAACCTAAATTGGTCAAACCATGACTTTATGGAGCTGGCTTTGTGCACAGGGACCCAACATGCTTGAACATAAACCTTCCCCTATCTGTAGCCACATGGTTACCACCATGGTCTTTGTATGATGTAGCATCAACAGTAACTTTCACTGTAAACACCTGAGCTCAATAATTTGACGGGATGACTACATACTTTTGGCCATATGGTATAAATGGTTGTATTCGGTTGTGTGGTCACAAACCACCAATGGTAATCGTAGTCTATTCTGTTTTTTTCAGGACATGATGCACCAGCTCCTCCAGGGATTGGACTTTCTCCATTCACACAGAGTGGTTCACCGGGACCTGAAACCTCAGAACATTTTGGTCACCAGCAACGGACAGATAAAGTTAGCAGACTTTGGCCTTGCACGGATCTACAGTTTTCAAATGGCACTTACATCTGTGGTAAGTCAAATCCCCAATCTTTTATTTTCAAAGTTCTCTGTGGTCAGTGCATTCTCCTGATAACTGCTGCCCATTACCAAGATGGTTCCCATCAAGAATTTATTTTTCTGTGGATGAAATGGTTAATATTTAAAGAGAACCAGTCCTGCCAGGGCTTAGGCTGGACTTATGAAAGAACTATATTATTTCTTTATTTAGTTTTATTTACTATAGAAACAGTTAACTAAGATTTAACCATTTTGGAGGTCAGAGGTCACCTGATGCCTGCCAGTTTCTGAATGACCTTGTGCACTGCACACTCACAATATTGTCATGTAAACTCTTACCCTCTGCTTGCCTCAGCAATAGCCATTTTCTTTTAGGCTCCATGCATACAGGCACATTTAGGGCATACAATGTAAACTGATGCTTTTTTCCACACCCAGAATACACAGCTTGTGCATACAGTCGCCCATAGACATGAATGGCTGTGTGCCGATACATGAATACACCAGTGCTCACATAAACCTGCATATAGCATGCAGACGTATTCCCCAAGTCTGCATTCGCGTAATACATAAGATATATTCTAAGGTTTACACAAGTACTGGCATGTCCATGGGACCTAAAACTAAACCTTTTGCATCATTACACTAGCTTAGCTGACAGCAGGAGTGTAAATTATCCCTCTATAGAGGCCTGAGCTATCTACCTGAGCGCCCAGGGAACAACGAAAACAAGGACTCTCTATTACGCCAATCTTGATTTGGCCACAGAAAGTCAAACTCTAGAGTTCTGCCTCCAGCATCTTGCCATTGGCCTCTCAGAGTGATGGACGGTCTCACCTTAGACCAACGAAGTGTAGGCCGGAGCTTGACTTGTTGAGTTTTTGAGAAAAGTATCCAAAAATGGTAACATTGAAATTTTGCTTCTTTTTCGACTTTCTCCTTATTTCAATCATCTGTTAAAACTTCGAACAAATTTGCTACTGGATATTTCACTGCTTGTGCTTCCCTTATTATGAACCTGGCAAACCCAATTTCCAAATGGATTTTGCTGATTTAAAAACAGGATGAAGGTAACTTTTCATTTGTCTTCACCTCGTAAATTGGAACTTTATCCCACCCGCTTGATTAGGCATATTAAGTTCATAATGGAGGTAGGCCAGAGAAGTGAATTCCCCCATAGTGGTATCTTTTTTTCTGTGTTTGGGGTACCCTGATATCTGGGTTAATAAGCCCCCATTCACATCTAAGAGTTTGTTTCATGTTTCCCGAAGCTCTACAGCTCAGCATGAAGATTCACATTATTTTCAATGGTGCCGGTTCACACATTGGGCGATGATTAATTGATTGCGTTATGATAAAATTCTTGATTTATAAATCATCCACCCTCCCTATGCCCTTTGCAGCGCATTCCCGACACTAGATGGAACAGAGGAACATATGAAATTCCTATGCTCCTTGGCTGCATCTAGTGGCAAGAATGGCGTGTGAATGGCATTTGGTTTCTAAATCAACCCCTTAGGGCCCAGCCACACCATCAAGAGTGCGTTCCAGTGCGTTCGACCTCTGGAACGTACTGGAATGAAACCCGTCCGTCTCAGTTTTTTTGGGGGTGAGAGACGGCGTGGCGGTGCATTGAACTCTGGGACCGCAGCCACGCCCCCCGCCCGTGGTGCGATCGCCGGCACCTGAACGTGGGGCATTTAAAAATAGTCTTTGCAGATTGCACTAGACCGGAATGCAGGCACTAATGTACCACGCGTTTGGGTGTCGGCGATCGCGCCTCGGACTGGGGCGTGGCTGCGGTGCCATTGAGTTCAATGCACCACCACTCCCCAAACCGGCCCGGTTTGGGGAGTGAGCACAATCATGCATTTTTGGTTCCATGGGCTTCAATAGGACTGCCTGAAAAACACCCGTTTCTTGCACGATTTCACGCCTAACAACTGTCTTCTCCTCCTCCTAGTAACTATAGTAGCTTTCCATTGGCTAAATGCTCAAGCCTGAAGAACATGCAAAATCTCCCAAAAATGCTCATGTTAAAGTGTGAATAGTGTCTAAAGGTCTTTGGTGCAGACAAAGTGAATTTATATATCATTTTTGGCTATTGAGGAATATATTTAAATAAACGTTTCTGTGTCTTGAGTTCCGTTAAGATCTCTATGGTTGCGCTGGTTGGTGTAGTGTTGTCCGGCCTCTCTTCCCAATCCTGTCCAATGTTTGGGCTCCTACTACACATTGGCAATTATTTTTTTTACATCATATACTGTTTTTGTGCGGCCTTAATGGACAATCTTGTATACATTTAGATCACACTGTATGTAGCAGAGTCTGTTTTACTAAATGTCACCACTTATCAGACGCACTGACTAATTAGGAAACATCTAGGTCAGCTGTCCTTTCAGTGTCAGCTTCTGTTTCAGTAAACGTTAGTCATATAACGCTTCCCTGGTGTACCGTCTGTACCGATACTGCACACATACGGCAACTCTCAGCTCCAGAAATGAGTACTGTTCATCTAATTTATCGCTCTTTCTAGAGAAGAACTGACTCAGCCCGTGTTTCCCAACGATTCCCGTGCAGTACAGGAGAATGAAAAGCAAACCGTGCTATATTACTATGTGTAATGCAAGTCACGCATAGTCACCCAGGTTTCATTGTGTTTTCAGTTCTCTCAGACTCTTCTAAAAGTAGAACTTTGGACAAAAGCAAAACCAAACTGGTCCTGCAACCTTCTATATATCTCCATGTGATAACATAAATCTTTGGTTAAATCGAGCGTTGGCCTATACCAGGGGAGACAAACTTCAGCCCTACAAAACCCATCATGCATCTGCCTCTGGGAGTCATGCCTGTCAGAGTCTTGCAATGCCTCATGGGACTTGTAGTTATACTACAGCTGGAGGGCCAGGGTTTAGCTACCCCTGGTCTATGCGAAAGGAAGCTAGAGGAGTCACTTTGATCTCTTGTAACTACTGTAGACGAGGCCAGTCCAGCACACTCCAGGAAGGATTGAGAACACACTATGCAGCAGGGACTGGCAGAGTCGTAGTTTTTGCAGATCATAGCAGGAGGAAAGTTAAGAGCAAAAAAGGTTACTTTTTGCTATTTTTAATTTTTTGGAAATACTGTCATTTTATTAATTTATTTGCCTACCCTCGCTCTACTTTTTATTGTGACCCCAGACTTATCCTTTAAAGCGGAATTAAACTCAACATTTACACTTTCCCTATCAGCTCATTGAACCTCATTGATGTGTAGAGTGAAATCCCTCAAAGGTAATACAGGGCTAAACAAATCTCAGGAGCCAGGTCGCCAGTGCGCTGTAAAGCTGGTTCCCGATATCTGAGCCATTCCGAGAGCTGCAGAGCACATTGGCTTTATTTACGTCAGCAGCTACCTCCGGCAAGGTGTTCGGCTGTCGCAGTGCTCCCCTTGCAGCCTTCAGTAAACTAATTCTCATTTATCCCAGCATGTAGGTCCTTGTTGAGGCCCCTACTGTTGGGGGGACAGTCTTCCAGCTATGCTCCTGCATTGTCGCCCAGTAACATACCACCCTGGTAGAGATTACAGGCAGCCATGTGAACCCACATGGCACAGGCATGGTCCACCATTGTCAAGATGAGGAAGGCGATCCATGGCAATGTGTGCAGCCAGCGCTGGAGCGAGTGCATGTAGACAGGAAGCAGCTGAAAAAGACTAAGATAGGGGAAAGGGATGCGAAAAAAAGGTGCAAACTGTATTTTATTTTTAAAAAATGGAAAAAGATTACGACTCACTTGTGTTTCTCGGACATAGGCATAGCATTGCATTGCCCCAAGTGCCTAGAGAACGTGTGTGAGAAAGAACAATAGGTCTTTCAGCTGTCTAATTGTCACCTAAAATAAGACCGCCATCTACAGGCTTGTTCTGTAAGTCAGTCATTTCAGTAACGATGTACAAAGAGTAGTAGCCCATGGCAACCAATCAAAATCAGCCTTTCAGTGAAATGTGATTGGTTGTTATGGCTCACTGCAGCCTGCTTATTATTATTACTTTGTGAATTGCCCTACGGATTTAGCCTGATAATGTCTGGGAGCTCTATAGTGTCATAGTATATGAATAAAATATTATTATTATTATTATTAATGTTATTTATAATTATTACTATTATTATTATTACTATTATTATGATATACAGACCATTATCTGGTTTTCTCTGCTTATTATCCATATGCTGACCAAATATGCATTTTAGGGCTGCGGAAATTAACGATTAATTCCTCGATTAATCGTTAATCTTTTTGATCGATCAAAATTCTTTTGATCTGTACTCACCTCACCGCCGGCTTCCGGGTCTTCAGGGAGTTCCTTTGGAGATCCGGTGACGTCACGGACATTGACGTCACCGGACTCCTCCCCCCTTCCCTTTGTTAGCCGACGGGGCCACTTGGGCCGGTGAGTTTGCCCAAGAAACTTGTTCTGCACGAGTGCCAGCCAAGGCGTTGGCCTATACACATACAGCACAGCAATGAAGTAATAAAATGAACTAGGATCACACTAATCCAGCACGTTATTATTCCGAGTTGCCCCACTTAAGTGGCGGCCATATTGAGTGGGGCACGTGAGATAAATAACGTGCTGGATTAGTGGGATCCTAGTTCATTTTATTACTTCATTGCTGTGCTGTATGTGTATAGGCCAATGTAGTTGGATCTGTATGTGCGTTATAATTAATCGAAATTAATCGATTAATCTATTTTAAAAAAATTTGATTAATCGAACATGAAAATTTTAATCAGTAACAGCCCTAATGCATTTTCATCTAATTGACCTTGCACACAGTTGTAAAAAGCAATTATTTGATACAGCACCAAAAATATATTTGCCTGTATAAGAATGTCATCCATGACAAAGGATTCCCACAGCTCTATGAATTAGCCAAAGAATAAAATGTTTCCATCCCCTGTGGAGACTGAAATTGTTAGTTGCCCAGCTGTCTGGCTTTATTGCTTGCTGCGACACTGACCCAGAACA